GTGAAGTGATCCTGAGAGTGTTCTTTTAAAATCTCATTAGATTTTCTAAAAACTCTCTTGGGAGCTTGTTTTTCGAACTCAGGCATTTGGGGGATTTTTGCTCGTTGCCTTCTTCCAGCAGCCCAGGCCCATTCGTCAGGCTGCTGGAACAAAAAAACCCCTACATAAATTGGCGACTCTGCTGGGGAACAAGCTGCCATTTTACTGATGCCTCCAAGAAAGAAAACTCGAAGCAACACCATGGCCTCCCAAGATGGACCTGACCATGGTGATTCTGAATCAAGGCAAAATGCTTCCTCTAGAGGACAAGAGCGTGCAAGTGAGGAAGCCTTCACCCTCACTGATCTCATCACGGCTATGCAGGCCATGGGGGAAACCCAGAAGGAGATGATGGACACTATCAAAGAATTAAAAAATGCTGCTTCCAAGCCAAACGAAGAGGATAGACGTCCGCAAGAAGAATCTGCCGCTGCTGGAAAAGGGTCTGAACAAAGGGGACCGTCTTTTGTCACTCAGGAGGATGTCGTTGCCATGCTGGAAAAGGAGCTTAGTCGAAGTCAGGAGGATTGGAAGTACATTCCTCAGCCACCGTACCCAGCAAGTTTACTCCAGCAGCCCTATCCCAAAGGTTACGAAACACCAACCTTTGTTCTCTTCGATGGGAGGAAAGGAAGCCCGAAGGAACATGTCAACCGATTCCTTGATGCTTTGGGGCCGCACGCTGGTGATTATAATTTGCGACTCCGAGAATTCTCAAAGAGCCTCACCGATCGGGCTTATACATGGTACACCACGTTGGCACCAGGCTCTATGCGTTCCTGGGACGATTTGGCGAGCAGGTTTTGTAAAAAATATTTTCAGCACGAGGAGAGGGTCACCACCACGCAGCTCAACAACACTCGCCAAAAGCAAGGGGAGGATCCCGTGGACTTCGTGAGAAGATTCCGGGACTTGGCTCTCGATTGCTATGACGAAAAAGATGAGGAGGCACTTGTTGAGATTTGCATCAGCAACATTGTGGCGGACTATAGAGTAATGGATGCTCTAAGACATGTTGATTTTTCATTTTTATGATATCAGTGCAACTAATGTACTTCCTTCTTATAGCTCCCTAATGATTTTCTCTCACATGTAGGCAAACAACCGTACCTACAAGTAGAACACATTTCAATGGGCAGACATCATTCACGAGGGGCCTACAATACCATCATGTTATAAACATTAAATGAAACTTGACAACAACAGTGGCTGTAGTTTAGTGGTAAGAATTCCACGTTGTGGCCGTGGAGACCTGGGCTCGAATCCCAGCAGCCACACATTTTAACTTCCTGTTTTAGGGTTTTTGTATAATTTTTGTTCAGTTTCCCTTGCTTATGAGTTTGCACCCACGAAAAACTACCATTCTTTTCCCCCTTTTTTTTTCTCTAAAACAAAAAGTTTAGGGGAACGGGAGGCTACCCTATCATAGGGTCATGGCATACCAATGCCTCTTTGACTTTGAGGACTTACAGAGGGGGTTTTACAAATTACCCACAAAATGGATTGTCAGCAGTGGGACTTGAACCTAGACCTTGATAGCGAAGAGAACGATCATTACCAACTCAACCAACCCTCGTTAGCCATTCTTTTTTGTCTTTGAAGTCAGTGGGGTATAACTAAATTGGTTGAGCTTTTCTACTTTCACCTATGTGGGTAGAGGTTCGAAACCCCCATATACCTAATAAATATATGTGTAAACCACTCCATCCCCTTATCGCTTGTACTACAAACGAAAAAAACCCAAAAAAAAAAAGAAAGAAAAAAAGAAGGTAGGCCTCTATAAATCACAGGAATTGCGTACAACCAACTAGCTATTGAGTCAGTGTTAGTTCTTTTCAATGCAGAAAGAAGTTTGAATTCGATTTCTCCCTCTCATGACCAAAATTGAAAAAATAACACACATTATAGTTGTCCTTTTTCTTTTTCTTTTTTACTTCGATATATACTATATTAATGGCTCTGGCTTTGCCAAAATAGCAAGCGGTGCACTAGATATCTGCACAGTGAAAGGACTCAGATTGGCATTCATGAACACACAAATACATTATTTTGATTTTGATGGTCATGGAGCTCTTTATCTTCTTGACACAAAAAGTCATGAAGTTTTTTAGGAGCACAGAAGTCGAAATTGGATACTCACAAGAAGCATAAATATTAATGAACCGTTGAGATGCTCATATCAAAAAGTAAATTAATTAGTTTGAACAAACGTGGATGAAAAAAAACCAAAACCCTATATTGTCGATACATAACTGTATTTATATGTAGCTTCAAAGGTGCAACAATAAATGAAATAAGCTTTGCTATTTGATTTTAGTGATAAGTTTTTGTTGCATAGTGCTTATGTTAACGTTATTGAAAACCTAAGAAACGCGTCCAACGAGATTATATTGTCATGGAGGTTACATTGTCATTGTAGATAATAAATTACTACTTCTTTTTCTTTAAAAACGCTACCATAATTACATGACACTTCTATGACGGGCCAATACACTCACAATAAGGCTAGCTAGTAGCCACAAGTAACTAGGTATCAAAATGATGACAAATATATATATATATATCGGTAACGTTTTCGAAGAATGTTTTCTTAATTATATTGTTTTGGCTTTCATCTCTCTTTTTTATAACTACATCCACATTGTATATGTCGTTTTTCAAACACCAATATCACAAATTATAAGCGATTGACATAATGGCTAATTAAAAGCCAATGAAGACATATAATCATTCTCGAATTATAGACACTAGAATTGAATATAGCAAGACGAAACAAAGCCTTACTAATTATTAATTTATTATAATAGCTGACATCCATACATAATTTTTTATAATCTTACCCAAAAACAAAAAAACAAATTCTTCGAGGAACCAACTTCTACATACCATAATTATTTTATTAATTAATAGGTTTATCAGCAACAGGTGATGATGGTGTCAATGGAGGGAATTGAATATGATGGGCTTCATCACAATAACCCTTGAGTACATTAGTCTCCTCGGTTGTAAACCCTAGCGTGCCAAGCAAGGCAGGCCAACACTGATGCTCAATGGTTTGAATGGCTTCGCAACAGCCATGCCCTAAGTAAGTCTCACCATTCAGAAAAAACATGACAACCTCACCAGAACATGCCTGGAGCTGAAACAAAGAGTTCCAACAGTTCGATGATTCTTCATCCAAATTCAACCTGGCTTCAAGGTTCGCATTCAATCCAATCGGGCTATAGTTCAAAGAGCGAGCACTAGTGGTGGCTATGAATAGTGGCATGGTCGACAAAGCAAGAAGAGTGAGAAGGAAGAGGTTGGAAGCTGCCATTTTCACTTTGGATGATTGAGAGATCGATGTGATGTGTGAGGAAGGGAGAATCCAAGAGTTTATATATAGAGGCCACAACAAGTGGAATTTAGTTTTACAAAAACGTTACATGCATGGAGAGATGGGGTGGTGAAGAGGCTCGTCAATCATTATTATTAATATCACCCAGTGCATGTGTTATTACAAAGTTAGTGGGCAATTAAGACTTAAACAACTAATTAAATACTAATGAACCGTTGAGATGTTTATATCAAAAAGTAAATTAATTAGTTTCAACAAACGTGGACAAATAATAACCAAAACCCTATATTGTCGATACTTTATATATATATATATATATATAATTAGCGATAGATATATTGCATTGGGGAGGGGGGCACTTATCCTGGGATTCGAATAGATGACCAAAGAAGGGAAGGGGGAGGGACCTCACCACTAAGGTAAACCCCTCAATCAATTATATATATTTTTATATGTAGCTTTCAAGGTGCAGTAATAAATGAAATAAAGCTTGCTATTGGATTTTAATGATAAACTTTTGTTGCTTAATGCTTATGTTAACGTTATTGAAAACCTAAGATGGTAATGCGTCCAATGAGATGCCATTACAATTTACTAATTAATTTACTATTGGTCATGGACTCATGGAGGTTATGCTGTCATTGTAGATAATCAATTACTGCATTTTTTTTGTTTTTATAAATGGCTGCCATAATTATAAGACACTTCTATGACAGGCTAATACACTCACAATAAGACTACACCATCACAATGAAACTAGCTAGTAGCCACAAGTAACTACGTATCGAACTGATCACAAATATACATATAGCTTTTGTCATTTATGTGAGTCGAACTTGAGACCTCCTCCAAATAAGTGCAGACAAATATCACTCGACTTATTAGCTTTCTAAAAGTATTGTTAGAATTTGAACTCCAAGTTTGCCATTTCTTTGATTTCTTGCTTGAAAATCAAAGCCATTGCTATCAACATGATTTTCAATAACCCTTGAATAATATTCATGAGTTTAAACAAAGTTTTTAGTTGTGATTTAAATTTAATTAGAGAAAATTTTCAAAATAAAATCACACCAATCAAATTAAAATCCAGACAAAACACAATGACCAAAAAAAATTCGATAATAATTATTGACAAGTTTTAAAACGAATGGCATATTTGGAAGGGTGAAACTGCTGGCCTGCCTTAGGAAAAAAAAAAAAAAAAAAAGACAACAACAACAACTGGGCTTTACAGATTGATGATATGATTTTGTTTATAGGCTGGGTTGGGCTAATCCATTAATACCCAGATCACTAACATGATTCCTATTATATATATGGTTCTAATGGTAAATTAATTTTCATCATCAACTCATATCATATGAATTTGAAAAACTCAATCAATTTCAAACTTCATGCTCAGGTATCACATATTATGAAATATCACATTTTAAGGCCAGAAAAAGATGAAATATTATGACCTTCACCTCCCAAATGATGAAAACCTAAATGAGTACTTCACAAAATCTCTTTTTACTTCATTCATTCTTCATGGGGTCAAAAACAAATGGGTCCTTTTTTTTTTATAGGTGAACACTTTTGTTTTGGTTAAACATTCTTCAATTAAGCAACATTTTACTTTAATTTAATCTAAATTGCTTAAAAGAATATTCAAACTCGGATGCAGAGTGGTGAATACATTAGTAGGATCATGACTTGATGGTGGTGATGGTGGATTTGACGTATGGGATTTAACATGAATGGCTTCATCACAGTAGCCCTTGAGTACATCATTCTCTTCTACGGTAAATCCTAGCGTGTCAAGCAAGACAGGCTAACACTGATGCTCAATGGTTCGAATGGCTTCACAACAGCTATGACCCAAGTAAGTCTCACCATTCTTAAAAAACATGACAACCTCACCAGAACATGCCTGGAGCTGAAACAAAGACTCCCAGCAGTTGGAAGATTCTTCATCCAAATTCAACATGGCTGCAAGGTTCAGGTTCGACTGGATTATATTAGAATTCAAAGGTCGAGCACTTGTGGCTAAGAATGGCATAGCCAAGTCTAGAAGAGCAGTGGGAAGGAAGAGCTTGAAAGTTGTATAAGCTGCCATTTTGATTTTGATTGTGGATGAGTAAGGAATTGATATGAATGAAGGGTTTTATATAGATGGTGAGGTGATTGTCTTATAAAAATGAACAATAAAAAAACGTTATGTGCATTGTGTGGTGAAGAGGCTGTTGAGAATAACTCATAATGACAATGATCATGCGTTACTTAACGGCAGGAGAAGTTGATGGAACTCAACTCATCAACTGATGATGCATATAACAAAATTTGTGGGAATTAAAATAATTAAACATAATTCCCAACTAATGATATATCAGACGAATTAATGGATAATTTTTGGTCTTTGTGATGGTTGGTTTACTTGCTATTGTTGGTTTTGTTTGCTGATGTTCAAAAGGATCAACCATTCATTTGCTTACCTAAAGTTGGTTAGTGTATTCACTATTCGTGCTCATTCCAAAAGATTGATTGAGACCCATAATTAGATGATTAAATTTATGTTTGCTTTACTTCTTTTTTTTTCTCAAATTGACAAAGGCAATGTTCAACCTATTGTAATGTACGGTACTGGGAGGGAGTTTGAATTCGGGTGCAAAGAGCAAGCACACTACCTTGACCAACTCGCCTAATCCACATTTGTAATTTTAATTTTCTATTAGATTTTAGTTATTGGACTCCAACCTATGCTTCAATTCTCATTGGAATTTGCTTAGAGCTACACAAATTAATAATTTTGTGATTGGTTTATTAGCTAGAGACTGTAGTTGGCTTCATTTTGGACTTTATTTGGTGCCATTCGGCCTTCGGTTGCTATATCTTGAGCTTCTACTTGATGGCCCTTGGATGTTTGTTCGGCTGTTTGTTTGAACATATCTATAGCTTACAATACATGTTATTTTTTAGAACCTATGTAGTAATGTCGGTCTAATTATAGCTCCAAAATGTCTCAAAATAAAAATAAAAGGAAAATAATAGATCCAAAATTATTGCCTCTCAATCTCAATTGATTTCCCTTGCGTGAAAATGTTGTTATCAAGACAGACTACTGTGTGAATATTAATATAAATACTATATCCTCTGTTTTTTGTGGAAATGTGTGTACATTCTGGCTAGATAAACACCTTCTCCTTCATAAATTACCAATCTCCAAATAAAAAGTTACTGTAGTTTTATTCAAAATAGAACTAGCTCTCCCAAATTCTGCTCAACATATTCTGATGTAAATGAACCTCTCAAAATTCCAGTATGTTGAATAATTTAAAATTGAGAGATGCTAAATAAGAGAAGACTGCATAATTGAAAGAGATTGCACAAACTATCAAAGAGATGATCAATGAAGCAAACAGGGGAGGAGTTCCGACAAAGCAATTGGTCGGTTTTAGATCGATTCAATGCAAATGTTTACGCGCCTGATTGAGAATTCTTGTTGGCCTATTCCATCCTGCACAAAACATAATAGAGCAGTTTAAAAAGTCACAGAAGTTGTGTCGATAAGAACCAAGTGGGTGATCTTGAGGTGCAAATTTCATGCAAACCTAGGCAATAGCACACAACGACTTTCGATCAGTTCAAGTTGCACATTAGCATTGTGCCCAGTACCGGCCATGGCATCAGGACCCCAAATTTTGGTTGACTGCATGACACAATTGGCTGACTTCAACAGCAGTAGTCTTGTTATTATGTACTTGAATGCAGAAACAAAACAAAAAAGTTACAGTATGTCCTGTTTATATTTGCATCATACATCCTGCATATATGTACTTTTGCAATGGAAAAAAACAAACAAAATGTAGCAAGGGAATTGTTCTCTTCTCCCACCTAATATCAAAATGAAACAAAATGGAAGACCTATAATTGATTGCTGAATGTAACTACTTACAGATTTGCAGTATGTTAACAGATACTTTGCTCAAATGCAGTAACATGAGTTAATTAATGTTCTACAGTAGTTAACAAAGAAAAGTTCTTTCTCATATGCATATAATACTGGCTCATGTTATCGATCAGGATGAAAAAAGTACATGAGAAAGAGAGAGAGAGGAGAGGAATTATCATCAAAGAAACAATAAGTGATGAATCTAATGATAAATGTCTGGCTAGAAAATAAAATGATAGATGGTGGTGACTTACTAATAATATCAATTGTGAGAGCAGCGTGATTGGCCTTTTAAGTATTGAAGTGCAGATATTTGAGGAGGAGGAGTTTTTAACGAAGCTTGCAAAAATTTAGCTCATTTTTATTAAATTTTTTAACATTAGCGAAAAATAAGAGAGGCCAAGACCTAAGTAGCAAATCAAAGTGGTTACCCTCCAAATCAAAAGTCCTATGCACCCCCTGCTGTAGTTTAAGAATGAAGCGGGCCAACGAATGAAGGAGCAACAGGTGAAAAACAAAACTTAGGGCAACGCAAGGCTAAAAGAATGAAGGACAAGCAGTGGAACAAACAATAGTACGCCAAATCCAAAAAAATGAAAAGTTGACTCAGCAAAAGCAGCAACTCACATTGAATTGAAATGCAGCAGTTGTGATGCCTCTTGCTTTCAAAGTGACGAATCATAGGTCAATCCCAAACACATCGATCTTTTTTCTTTTTCTGGGCCGACCTTCGTCAACAACATTATCATCATCATCATCATTTAATTCATCTTGGTCTGCCTCTTCGAAAAGAGCATAGGCATTGCAGAAGAGAGATTTTTGGTGAGAGCTACCACTTCCACTAGGACTAGCCTCCTCGTCATCGTGGCGTTGTTGACCTTGTGCATCAGCTGATTTGGTAGGACAAGTAGTAGTGCTCTTGATGACGGATTTTTTCATCGTGATCTGGTTGAGTTGTTCCACATCTTGCTCGTGCACCAAACGAAACCCACACTTCTTCACACAAGATTTTTTGTCTCCCCACGTTATGTCTTGAGAATAATAAGTTGTAAAGAAAACCTTTATCTGACCGCATATCTTCTCAAATTGTTTACGAGATACATAAATTACCCAAAGGTGATCTGACACAACATCGCCTATTTTAAAATATTTTGAAAATACTCCATGTGGCCGCATTCCTTGTGCGGAACAGCTAATTTGAAAATAATGAAAATCAGAAAGATGAGCCTGAACTTCAAACACAGCACATAAAGCAATTCCCATCCACATGGTAGGTAGCTCCACAGTTAGGGAATCTCCCAAACTTTGATTACTAAACCACTCTGGAATTTTCCTTCCAGGAGTTACAATTTCGAATTTGTATGGAGGCCTAGGGATTACCTGCACCATATACATAGATATTTATGAGGTTAGCAAGTTGTAATTATTATTATAGCAAACAACAAAAGAGAGACAGAGAGACAGAGAGACAGAACCTGAAGGTATCGCTGTAGCATTTTCAGTATTATACTATCGCAGCCTTCATTGTCAACCAATACAAAGCAATTGCCACAATTAAATTGTACTAATGAGCAATTTGACGAAAGATGTGGTAACATTTTTAAGGAAGTGCAATTGGCTATGTCTATATCCACCAATGAGATAAGCTTAGAAATATCTGGCAATTGTTCAAGACTTTGGCACCCATTCACCCAAAATAACTCAAGCTTAGAAAGACATCCAATGCTTGCAGGAAGGCTAACAAAATTGTTTCTACTAAGCTTTAATTCTACTAAAGAGGACAAGCAACCAATATCACTGGGAAGATCCCCTTCACAAACACCACAATTACTCAGATCCAAATATTTCAAAGAGAATAAACCATCAAGCGAAGCCAACACAAAAGCCTTTCTTTCATATGAGAGGGGGAGGCAACACAAAAGCCTAGATGGTAACCTTGATTCACATCCACCCAAAGATAGACTGTAAAGTTTTTTCAAACCAACAACGGAACGTGGCAGCTGTCTTATAGAAGTTCCGTGCAATTGAAGCACCTGTAAACAATCCATCTCCCCCAACTTCTCTGGGAGTTTGTCAATTTTTGAGCATCCTTTCACCCACATGTATTTAAGAGACTTCAAATTACAAATTTCACTCGGAAGACCCACGAGATTTTTGCAATCCGATAACATCAGACCGCTAAGGCCAACTAGACATCCTATTGATGAAGGTAATTTCTCAACTGACGTCTGCTGTAAATTAATGGTTGACAAAATTTTCATTTGCCCTGAAAATTCTGGAATCTTTTTCAATTTTCGACAAAAATGAAAAGACAACCATTTAAGACATTTGAGATCTGCAACTGACGGGTGAATTGCAACCAAATTATCACAAATTTCAAAATTCAACACCTCAAGATTCGGCATGCCACTGAAATCTGGGGTTGTGGTCAACCTTTCAGAGGAACCGAGGTTCATGTATTTCAAGTTCGGCAAGTCCTGTACAATTCAGAAACAAAATATATAATTAGCACATTTTTATCTTATTTTCAAAAACAAAATATAAAAAAACTAATTTCTTAAAACAAAATATTTATTTTATTTTATTTCTAGTTGGGCAACTCCTGTACAATTCGATAATTAGCTCAAATTTATTTTATTTTTTAAAATAAATAAACTAATTTCTAGAATGGCATATGGTCCCTACTCTTACCTTTCTTCCATCCCAAAGCTGAACAAGTTTGCTATCAGGCATCTCAAGTGAAATAAGGGACTTCGGTTGAAAGCCTGATGGGAGAAATTTGGAAGGATACAAACTCCATTTGATACTTCTCAAGGAATTAGGAAGAAATCTGGGGCTTGTAGAAATCATCATATTATCAAATTCAAGAAATTCCAGGTTACTCATCTTAGAGAAAGCTTTACAATTCCAATTTGTCTTTTCAACTGTCGACGTGTGTAAGCTAATGCCTCTAATTTTGTCCGTTGCCTGTAATTAAGAATAGTAAAAGAAAAGTTAATTCCACATTTAAGTTTAATAATGTATTAAAGAGAAATCATATATCTTCCAAAACTATCTTTATATAACTTCTTATCATATTGTTTATGAATACATCAAAATATCATTAATTAAGTCTAATACTGTGTTAAAGACAAATCATAAATCTTCCAAAACTTAGTATCGTTTATATAACTTCTTACCGTATTTTTTATGAATACATGAGAGATATCATCATAATTGCACAATCGACTTCGTCTACCAGGCTCTTTAGGACACTCTCGACGAACAATTTCCAATGCCATTTCTTGTATCAAATCATGCATCTCAACATTCCCATTTGATATAGTTAAGAGTGATTTCCGAACGAGATCATTTATCCCAACACAACCACATAGGCCACAACTCTCTAGTATTTCAATCACTTGCCGCTTGTCCCTCCCCTTATGTAAACATGCAACATCAAGAAATATATTCTTGTTCATCTCATCTAGTCCATCATAACTTATTTTGAACAAATCAATAATTTCTGACTTAGGAATTTTCCGCAGCTTATCCAATTCACTTTCCCATTCATCTTCATCTCTCTTATACATTAAGCATCCCAAAAGTTTAAGAGCTAGTGGAAGGCCTCTAGCATAATTTACAAAACCCTTGGACAATTCCAAGAAACCTTCGTCAGGCTCATTTTTTTTAAAGGCATTCCGACTAAAGAGTCCAAGAGCATCATCATCACTTAATCCCTCTACCTGATATGATACCTGCATATCATGCTTAACTAGCAACCGTTCATCTCTAGTTGTAATTATGATTATACTCCCCTTACCAAACCAATCCTTTTCACCAGCCAACTTTTCAAGTTGGCTTGATTCACTCACATCATCAAGAATGAGAAGAACCTTTTTATTAGATAAGCAATTCTTAATGAAATAGGTCCCCCACTGTTCATCCCAAACTTGAGTAATTTGTTCCTTCAAGATCGGGAAAAGAAGCTGTCTTTGTAGATTAACAAGATTCCCATGTTCAGAAACCGCTCTAACATTAGCAAGAAAGCAGCTAACTTCAAAATGAATAGAAATGCTCTCATAAACTAGCTTAGCAATGGTCGTCTTGCCAATGCCGCCCATCCCCCATATCCCTATAAAGCGAACATCATCCGTAGGAGCTAATAGCCAATCTATGTCCCCAAGTGTAAACTTAATTCCCACTAACTCTGTGGAATCTAACAATTTGAATGTGCGATGCATTTTACTCCACACCCATTCAACAATCTTTTCAATAAGCTTTCTTTCACACCTACAATGAGGAAAAGTAAAACGATCATGAAGTCTAAAATATAAACCATGGGTTTTGTTAAGACATATAGAGAAGTTGTTCATTCATGCTTACTCATTCTTTGAATCTATCCCAGATAAATTGGCTACTTCTGTTAAAGCATCTCTCCAGCGCTTCACCTTATCGATGTCTTCCCTAAACCTTTTCTCATGCTCAGCGAAGGCGTCCACAAAACTGCCACTTTGTTTTCTCACATTGGAGGGATCCACGTTATAAAACACTGGCAGAATTGTGCCCTTGGATTTCATGCATTGGAGAATCTCTGTAAGTTCATCCAAACACCAGGTAGAAGAAGCATATTTTGGCGAGAGAACAACGATTGCAAGCCTTGATTCTTGGATTGCGTTGAAGAGCCCTGAAGAAATAGCTGTCCCTCTTTCAAGCTTTGGATCATCCTTGAATGTTTTAATGCCCCTGAGCTGCAATTCGTGGTATAAATGGGATACAAAGCTAAGTCGAGTGTCCTCACCCCTGAAACTCAAAAACACATCGTGGTTCGGTTGAGGAGCAGACTGATGAGTTGAAGGAAGAAAGGCAGAGTCTCTTTGGGTGCTCAATGCCATTTGGCAATCTGCTGCTGCTGTAAACACTCAATGAAAATAAACCTTTCGCTAATTAAATCTTCAAAAATCCAAACACTCAATTAATAAATAGAAAGATGATGATAAATGGCTTGCAAAAAGAAAAGGATTGAAATTTAAAGAGGTCTTTTTTGGGTAATATAGTAAACCAGAGGAAAACAGAGGAATTCAATATATAAACATTAGAAGGAACAAAAATACGAATTTCAACATTTAAAACAAAAATATAAGCCTCATGACAAGACAAGTGAACTAAAAATTGCATATGCTTTAGTTAATGTTACCTGAACAAAACAGATATGGAAATGTAGTTTGTAAGACAACAACCAAAAGACCAGCAAACCAACCAGAAACTCACAATAAATACTTCTTCTCAAGATCAGCCAAAAAACCAGCAACAAGAAGCAAAGCTAACAGTGAGAGAGAGAGAGAGAGTTGCAAAACCGTGTAGTGGCGAGCACGTTTTCTCTTGTCAGCTATCTCCAAGTCCAACGTCTCCAATGAAAGTCTTAAGTCTTTGGTCAATGAGTGATTTATTTTGAAGGGGAAGGAGGGCATTTCATTTTCGGAAAAAGTTCTTTTGCTTTTTATTTTATTTATTGTCACGTTAATTATTTGAGTGGTTGCATAATTTTCTTTGATTGAGTTTAACGATTAAATTCAACATGTCCTAAAGAGCTAAAATTTTAATTGGTTGATCAAACCATCAAAACTACTGAGATTGAATGAACCTAGAAATTTAGTTTAGATAATAGCAATAGAAATTTAGCTCATTCCGTAAAACGAGTTACTCTATCTTGACATGTTTCTGTATATACATACTTATTTGAAAATTGTCTGGACACATTTCAAATAAAGTAAAAGGAAATGGATCTTTCCATGGAGAAGCCATATATGACCGCCAGCCAACTTTGCCAAGAATCCTCGTAACAAAAGTCATAAAATAATAAATTGTCAAGAAGAAAAAAAAATTGTTTATATGCAGTTCCAAACCAATTTCCGCACACAAAAAGACAAAATAGAGGAAAAGAAAATGAAGCAACATGGAAGAATATCAAAGGAAGACTTGAGAAAAGGACCACAATTTCTGTAAAAATGGTGAATGAAGAAAATAGTTTGGTAGAGAAGATGTCGGTGTTTGATTATATGTGAATATACAATATAGCTACGACTTTATACAAACTGAGAGAGTCTTATTCTAGGAAGGAAATAAAACAATTGAATGACATATATACAAGGAATCAATCAACGACCCTATAATCTAGGCATATCAAATATGACTTGATTCTTTCCTTTAACACTCCCCCTCAAGTTGGAGTGTGGATATCCAAAACACCCAACTTGCTGAGATGTGAATGGAAAACAGCTTGTCTCAATGGCTTCGTGAAAATGTCAGCAATCTGTTTTCCAGTTTGCACGTATGTTGTCTTGATTTCTCCTTTTTGAATTCTTTCTCATATAGTGTAGCAATCAAGCTCAATATGTTTGGTATGTTCATGGTAAACCTAAGATGGCAATGCTTCCAATGAGATACCATTATAATTTACTAATTAATTTACTATTGGTCATGGACTGATGGAGGTTATGTTGTCATTGTAGATAATCAATTACTACATTTTTTGTTTTTACAAATTGTTGGCATAATTACACGACACTTTTACAAGGGGCTAATACACTCATAATAAGGCTACACCATCATAATGAAGCTAGCTAGTAGCCACAAGTAACTAGATATCAAACTGATGTCAAATATATATATTGCTTTTATCATTTATGTGAGCCGAATCTAAGACCTCCTCTAAATAAGTGCAGACAAATATCGTCGATGGTGTAGTCGCACTCGACGGTGATTTGGAGCACCATGGTTGTGGCTCTTTCTCTCACACTCGCTCGCTCAGTTTTTTCAATTGCAGAGAAAATATGTTGGAAAGCACAGCGAAATGACGTGACTGCACTTATATAGGAAAGCTCAGAGCGAGTCGTTGACTCACTCTGAGTTACTGTATCACGTATATATATGTTTTACCTCTACTTTTTTAATTTCTTGATTGTAAAATTACAATATAACCCAATATCTTCATATTTTTCAAGTAATTTTTTTTTTCTCCTAAATGTTGGTAAGGAAAGCGTTAAACCCTTCATTTGTGTAACCAAACATATACTGAAGTAAGAAATTTTGTAATGTAAGCTAATCTTTTTCATTATTTTTTTTTTATGAATAATACTAGTCTTACCACATTTTTTATACCACATGATGTGGCGGCTGATGTGTACATACCACATCATGTAAAATACTAGTTTCTGTTTTTTTAATTTTATTTATTAAAATACACTTCATTCATTTAATTGATATGTTATATGATATGGAAATGCCACATCATGTGGTATAGAAATGTTGGATAATAATGTGGTAAGTGCATTACTCTTTTTTTATTTATGACGTTATTATTGAAAACTCTTTCCTTAACTTTTTTTTTTGGTAAGGAAAAAGTACATATCGAGGATGTTTTTATAAAAGGTAAAAAAAATAATAATAATAAAGAGGTGTATGATTTTTCTTAATTATCATGCTTTTTATAAAAGACAACAACTGGGCTTTACAGATTGATGTGGATTGGGATTTACATATGATTTTGTTTATGGGCTGGGTTGGGCTAATCCATTAATAAGCAGATCACTAACATGATTCCTATTATATATCTATATATATAAAGCAAAAGGTAGAGAATTGTGAAACATTAAAAATACCAGAAAATGCCCTTTGTTAATTCAAACATTAAGAATTGAAATTATTAATTAAATAGGAATAATATGGTAAATTCACATTTTATATATTAAAAAATTAAAATTAAAAACAAAATCAGATAATATGTCCTATTTTTATGGAACATAACTACCAATGTTATATTTTCTTAATTCTATAAATAAATAAAAATTAAAAAAAAAAAAAAAAAAACCAAGCCAAGAGGCTAGTATGGTTCTAATGGTAAATTAATTTTCATCATCAACCCATTACCCATATCATATGAATTTTTTAAAACTCAATCAATTTCAAACTTCATGAACAAGGATCACATTTTAAAGCCAGAAAAAGATGAAATATTATGACCTTCACCGACCCAACCCAAATTATGAAAACCTAAATGAGTACTTCACAAAATCTTTTTCTACCTCATTCATTCCTCATGGGGTCAAAACAAATGGGTCTTTTTTTATAGGTAAACTGTTTTGGTTAAACACTCTTCAATCAAGCGATATTCTACTTTAATCTAATCTAAACTACATAGAAGGGGATTTGAACTCGAATGCAGAGTGGTGAACACATTCTTCAATTTTTATTAAATAAAATGAATTATAATAGTATGTCATCTAATGCAGATGTTGAAGGAAAATATGAATATCCCAACATAATTTCACCACCACTAATTAGTTAATGGAGTTTTATTATTTTAGGTTCGACCCATTCGAGACGCAAGTCTCTTAATTACAATCCCTTGCTACAAGGGAAAATCCTTTGATTCCATCATAAAGAAACAAAACGTGTGTGTTTGGTTTTGCGGCTACCCCTAAGTTGAACCTCGGGGTGCCTATGTATCCCCTGCGGGAATCAAGCCACTCGTAGTTCAAAGAGTCGCAATGAATAAATGACTCATTGCAAGGGAAATTTGATTTGACTTGTGTTGAGGAGTGTTTGAGTGAATTTAGCTAAATAAACTAGGGATTCAATATGAGATTGTGTTTGGGATGGTTGCATCTAGATTGCCTACATACCCTTTCAAATGGATCAAACCAACGTAGTTCGAAATTGATTTGTGTGGAGATTTAATTGGTGAGAATTTGGTTGCGGTTGTGTCTATTAGGATGTTAGACAGCATACGTACCCTTGATGGGATCAAACCAGCGTAGTTCCAAAATTTGGTAATTAATGGGTAAGTGCAGCCCACTAATTGAGAATTTGTGTCTTTGGGACAATTGGAGATTTTCATAAGTATATGACCTATGGGAAAGATTGGAAATTAATGGGTAAGTGTGACCCATTAATTGAGAATTTGTGTTTGAGAGATTTGAATTTAATCCCGTTGGAATTTTCATGGGTAGATGACCCATGAGAAAAATTGGAAATTAATGGGTAAATGTGGCCCACTAATTGAGAATTTGAATTTGAGAGATTTGAATTTAATTTCATTGAAATTTGCAAGGGTAGATGACCCATAGAAAAAGTTGGATGGTTTTGTACCATTTTTCCTATGTCAATGTCCAAGAAAAATAATGAGAAATTTCAATTAAGCCACTATTTTTCTAAAATTGACATTTGCACTTGGAAAAGTATTCTGGCGAATTTGGTTAGAACAAACCAATGATTCAAATTTGGTTGCGGTTGCGTCTAGTAGGATGCTAGACTGCCTACGTACCATTGATGGGATCAAACCGACGTAGTTCCAAAATGTAGAAATTAATGGGTAAATATGGCCCAATAATTTAGAATTGGTGTCTTTGAGATAATTTGGGGATTTTCATAGGTAGATGACCTATGGGAAAAATTAGTAATTAATGGGTAAGTGTGGTCCACTAATTGAGAATTTGTGTTTGAGATATTTGAATTTAATCTCATTGGAATTTTCATGAGTAGATGACCCATGAGAAAAATTGAAAATTAATGGGTAAGTATGGCCCACTAATTGAGAATTTGTATTTGAGAGATTTGAATTTAATCTCATTGAAATTTGCATGGGTAGATGACCCATGGAAAAAGTTGGATGGTTTTGTACCATTTTTCCTATTGTCAATGTCCAAGAAAAATAGTGAGAAATTTCAATTAAGCCACTAATTTTCTAAAATTGACATTTGCACTTGGAAAAGTATTCTGGCGAATTTGGTTAGAACAAGCCAAGGATTCAAATTTGGTTGCGGTTGCGTCTAGTGGGATGCTAGACTGCCTACGTACTCTTGATGGGATCAAACCGACGTAGTTCCAAAATTTAGAAATTAATGGGTAAATGTTGCCCAATAATTTAGAATTGGTGTCTTTGAGATAATTTGGGGATTTTCATAGGTAGATGACATATGGGAAAAATTGGAAATTAATGAGTAAGTGTGGCCCACTAATTGAGAATTTGTGTTTGAGATATTTGAATTTAATCTCATTGGAATTTTCATGAGTAGATGACCTATGAGAAAAATTGGAAATTAATGGGTGAGTGTGGCCCACTAATTGAGAATTTGTATTTGAGATATTTGATCCATTTAATCTCATTGAAATTTGCATGGGTAGATGACCCATGGAAAAAGTTGGATGGTTTTGTACCATTTTTCCTATTGTCAATGTCCAAGAAAAATAGTGAGAAATTTCAATTAAGCCACTAATTTTCTAAAATTGACATTTGCACTTGGAAAAGTATTCTGGCGAATTTGGTTAGAATAAACCAAGGATTCAAATTTGGTTGCGGTTGCATTGATGGGATCAAACCGACGTAGTTCTAAAATTTAGAAATTAATGGGTAGATGTGGCCCAATAATTTAGAATTTGTGTCTTTGAGATAATTTGAAGATTTTCATAGGTAGATGACCCATGAGAAGAATTGGAAATTAATGGGTAAGTGTGGCCCACTAATGGAGTATTTGTGTTTGAGAAATTTGAATTTAATCTCATTGGAATTTTCATGGCCAGATGACCTATGAAAAAAAATTAGAAATTAATGGGTGAGTGTAGCCCACTAATTAAGAGTTTGTGTTTTAGGGATATTTGAATTTAATCTCATTGAGATTTGCATGGGTAGATGACCCATTGGCAAAAATTGGATGGTTTTGTACCATTTTTCCTTTTTTGTCAACGTCCAAGAAAAATAATGAGTAATTTTGATTCACCCACTAATTTTTTAAAATTGACATTTGCACTTGGACCCAAATATGGCTATGAGGATTTTTAAAATTGATCCATGAACCATATAATAGGGGGCTTCTATAGTGAGTGGAAAGTTATAAGGAGTGTTTGGTGAGTTTTTAAAAGAGGGTGCATGTAGAACCGGGTTGAAATTTGACCCGTTGGAAACCCAACTTTAGTTGAAGATTTTTCCCTCTCTGTGAAAAACTCAAGAACACAATCCTCTCTTTTTTAATGTAATGCAAACCCACAATTAGAAAGATCCAAAGCTCTCAAACCCTATAGTCGCTCCATTGTCATCAGCTCCTTAGGAGGCCTGCGATCTATGGTATCCTCGGTATGACGATTAATGGATCTTACCTAGCTATTGCCCTGTTTTGATTCTATGGCTCAAGTGAAAACCCCTTCTCTTTTTCGTTCAGCAGACATATACTTGATAGCTGAACGTAACTACTTAATGATTTGCAGTATGTTAACAGATACTTTCCTCAAGTGCTATATAATAAGCAGCAACATGAGTTAATTAACCTGATTAATTAGTGCTCTGCAGTAGCTAACAAAGAAATGTTCTTTCTCATATGCATAAAGCTCATGTTATCAACCAAGATGACAAATGTACATGTGAGAGAGAGAGACAAAGAGAGAAAAAGCAGAGGAATTATCATCAAAGATATGAATCTAATGATAAATGTATGGCTAGAAAAGAAAATGCAGGGAGACAGATGGTGGTGACTTACTCATAATATCCATTGTGAGAGCAGTGTTATTGGCCTTTAAGTATTGAAGTGCAGATATTTGAGGAGGAGTTTTTAGCAAAATTTTAGCTCATCTTTTAAGAATAACAGTTTTTATTAAACTTTTCAACAATAGCGAAAAATAAGAGGGGCAAGACCTAAGTAGCAAATCAAAAGTCCTATGCACCCCCTGCTGTAGTTGAAAATTTTCATAAAGTTGTTAAAAAGAGGGAGAAAATCTTTACAAGTAGAGAGAAATTCAGATATGCTCCTAAAACAAAACAAGGAATAGAGCCAAATAAAAAAACAGTGGGAGAACCAAATGAAGGAGCAATAGGTGAAAAACAAAGCTTAGGGCAATATACGGCCAAAAGAATGAAGCACAAGCAGTGGAACAAACAAGAGAGAAACAACATCATTGAAATACAGCAAATCCCAAAAAAAATGAAAACTAGAATCAGCAAATGAAGCAACTCACATTGAAATACAGCAGTTGTGATGCCTCTTGCTTTGAAAGTGAGGAATCATAGGTTAGTCCCAATCACATCGATCTTTTTTCTTTTTCTGGGCCGAGCTTCATCAACAACATCATTTTATTTCATCTTGGTCTGCCTCTTCGGAAAGAGCATAGGTATTGCAGAAGAGAGATTTTTGGTGAGAGCTACCACTTCCACTAGGACCAGCCTCCTGGTCATCGTGGCGTTGTTGACCTTGTGCATCAGCTGATTTGGTAGGACTAGTAGTAGTGCCCTTGATGATGGATTTGTTCATCATGATCTGGTTGAGTTGTTCCACATCTTGCTTGTGCACCAACCGAAACCCACACTTCTTCACATATTGTATGTCGTATACCAACCGTTTTTCGTCTTGACAAAAATAAGAAGTTTTGAAGAAAACCTTTATCTGACCGCACATCTTCTCAAATTGTTTACAAGGTACATAAATTACCCAAAGGTGATCTGACACAACATTGCCTGTTTTTAGTTTTGGAAGTACTCCATGTGGCAGCATTCCTTGTGCGAAACAGCTAACATGAAAAAAATTAAATTCAGAAAGATCAGCCTGAACTTCAAGCACAGCACATAAAGCAATTCCCATCCACGTGGTACATGAATCCAGAGGGAGCTCCACAGTTAGGGAATCTCCCAAACTTTGATTACTGAACCACTCTGGAATTTTCCTTCGAGGAGTTACAATTTCGAATCGGTAGTCAAAAGGCGTAGGGAGTACCTGTACCATATACATAGATATATACGAGGTTAGTAAGTTGTAATTATTATTATAGCAAACAACAAAAGAGACAAACAGAGAGAGAGAGAACCTGAAGGTATCGCTGTAGCATTTTCAGTATTATACTATCGCAGCCTTCATTGTCAACCAATACAAAGCAATTTGCACAATTAAAACGTATTTCGTTGTTTATATTCACTAATAACCAATTTGACGAAAGATGTGGTAACATTTTTAAGGAAGTGCAATTGGCTATGTTTATATCCACCAATGAGATAAGCTTAGAAAGATCTGGCAATTGTTCAAGACTTTGGCACCCATTCACCCAAAATGACTTAAGATTAGAAAGACATCCAATGCTTGCAGGAAGGCTAACAAAATTGTTTCCACTAAGCTTTAATTCTTCTAAAGAGGACAAGCAACCAATATCACTGGGAAGATCCGCTTCACAAACACCATAATTACTCAGATCCAATTCCCTCAAAGAAAATAAACCACCTAGCGAAGCCAACTCAAAAGCCTCTCTTTCATATGAGAGTGGTAGGCAACACAAAAGCCTAGACGGTAACCTTGATTCACATCTACCCAAAGATAAACTCTGAAGTTTTTTCAAACCAACAATGGAGCGTGGCAGCTGTCTTATAGAAGTTCCATCCAGTAGAAGCATATCTAAACACTCCATCTCCCCCACGTTCTCTGGGAGTTTGTCAATTTTTGGGCATCCACCCACCCCGAGCGTTGTAAGAAACTTCAAATTACAAATTTCACTCGGAAGACCCACGAGATTTTTGCAACCCGATAGTGATAGACTACTAAGGCCAACCAGACGTCCTATTGATGAAGATAATTTCTCAATGGAAGTCCCATTTAAAGTAAGCAATGACAAATTTTTCATTTGCCCTGAAAATTCTGGAATCTTTTTCAATTTTGGGCATGAACCAAACAAAAACCATTTAAGACATTTGAGATCTGCAATTGACGGGTGAATCGCAACCAAATTATCACAAAATTGAAAATTCAACACCTCAAGATTCGGCATGCCACTGAAATCTGGGGTTATGATCAACTTTTTAGAGGCATTTAGTTTCATGGTTTTCAAGTTGGGCAAGTCCTGTACAATTCAGAAACAAAATATATAATTAGCACATTTTTATCTTAATTTTCCAAAACGAAACATAAAAAAACTAATTTCTTAAAACAAAATATTTATTTTATTTTATTTTATTTCTAGTTGGGCAACTCCTATACAATTCGATAATTAGCTCAGATTTATCTTATTTTTTAAAACAAAATATTTATAAATAAATAAACTAATTTCTAGAATGGCATATGGTCCCTACTCTTACCTTTCTTCCATCCCAAAGTCGAACAAGTTTGTTATCAGGCATCTCAAGTGAAATAAGGAAATTCAGTTGAAAGCCTGATGGGAGATATTTGGAAGGATACCGACTCCATTTGATACTTCTCAAGGAATTAGGAAGAACTCTGGGGCTTGAAGAAATCATCATATTATCAAATTCAAGAAATTTCAGGTTAAGCATCTTAGAGAAGGCTTCACAATTCCAATTTGTCTTTTTAACTGTCGCCATTCGTAAGCTGATGCCTCTAATTTTGTCTGTTGCCTGTAATTAAGAATAGAAAAAGAAAAGTTAATTCCACATTTAAGTTTAACAATGTATTAAAGAGAAATCATATATTTTCCAAAACTATCTTTATATAACTCTTCTCATTCTATTTATGAATACATCAAAGATATCATTAATAAGTTTAATGTTGTGTTAAAGAGAAATCATAAATCTTCCAAAGCTTAGTATCTTTTATATAACTTCTTACCGTATTGTCTATGAATACATGAGAGATATCATCATGGTTGCACAATCGACTTCGTCTACCAGGCTCTTCAGGACACTCTCGACGAACAATTTCCCATGCCATTTCTTGTATCAAATCATGCATCTCAACATTCCCATTTGATATAGTTAAGAGTGATTTCCGAACGAGATCATTTATCCCAACACAACCACATAGGCCGCAACTGTCCAGTATTTCAATTACTTCCTCCTTGCCCTTCCACTTATGAAAAAATGCAACATCAAGAAATATCTCCTTATTCATGTCATCCAGTCCATCATAACTTATTTTGAGCAAATCAAAAATTCCTGAGTTAGGAATTTTCCGCAACTTATCCAATTCACTTTTCCATTCATCTTGATCTCTCATATTATACACTAAGCATCCCAAAAGTTTAAGAGCTAGTGGAAGGCCTCTTGCATAATTTACAAAACCCTTGGACAATTCCAAGAAACCTTCCTCAGGCTCATTTTTTCTGAAGGCATTCCGACTAAAGAGCTCAAGAGCATCATCATGACCTAACGCCTCTACCTTATATGATATATGTATATCATGTTGAACAAGCAACCGTTTATCTCTTGTTGTAATAACGATCATACTCCCCTTACCAAACCAATCCTTTTCACCAGCCAACTTTTCAAGTTGGCTTGATTCACTCACATCATCAAGAATGAGAAGAACCTTTTTATTATACAAGCAATTCTTAATGACAGAGGTTCCCCGCTGTTCATCCCAAACTGGAGTAATTTGATCCTTTAAGATTGGGGAAAGAAGTTGTCTTTGTAGATCAACAAGATTACCACGTTGAGAAACCTCTCTAACATTAGCAAGAAAGCTGCTAACTTCAAAATGGGTAGAAATGCTATCATAAACTAGCTGAGCAATGGTTGTTTTGCCAATTCCGCCCATCCCCCATATCCCTATAAAGCGAACATCATCCGTAGGATGAGCTGAAAGCAAATCTACTTGCTCACGTATAAACTTCATTCCCACTAACTCTCTGGAATCTAACAATTTGAATCTGTGATTCACTTTGTCCCACACCCAGTCAACAATCTTTTCAACAAGCTTTCTTTCACTTCTACAAAGAGGAAAAGTAAAATGATAATGAAGTCTAAAATATAAGACATACATATAACAAGATATGATGGCTTACGAAAAAACATACTCATTCTTTGAATCAAACCCAGATAAACTGGCCACTTCAGTTAAAGCATCTCTCCAGCTCTTCACCCTTTCTCTGTCTTCCCTAAACCTTTCCTCATGATCAGCGAACGCGCACGCAAAACTACCGGTTTGTTTTCGTACGTCGGAAGGATTCACATGATAAAACACTGGCAGAACGGTGCTCTTCGATTTCATGTATTGGAGAATCTTTGTAAGCTCATCCAAGCACCAGGAAGAAGACGCATAATTTGGCGAGAGGACAACGATTGCAAGCATTGATTCTTCGATTGCGTTGAAAAGCCCCGAAGAAATAGCTGTCCCTCTTTCAAGCTTAGGATCGTCCTTGAATGTTTTAATGCCCCTGAGCTGCAATTCGTGGTATAAATGGGATACAAAGCTATTTCGAGTGTCCTCGCCCCTGAAACTCAAAAACACATCGTGGTTCGGTTGAGGAGCAGACTGATGAGGTGAAGGAAGAAAGGCATAGTCTCTTTGGGTGCTCAATGCCATTTGGCAATCTGCTGCTGCTGTAAACACTCAACGAAAATAAGCCTTTCGCTAATTAAATCCAAACACTCAACTAACAAATAGAAGATAAATGGCTTGCAAAAGGAAAAGGATTAAAATTTAGAGAGGTTTTTTTTGGGTAAATGAAGATAAATAAGGACGACGTAGAGGAAAATGGGTCGTCTTGTCATGATGTTTTCAACGTTTAAAACAATGGGCTGGCATGAAAAAGCGTCATCACTACACCAGTGAACTAAAAACTGCATATACTTTAGCTTAATGTTACCAACAAGTTTAGCTTAATGTTACCTTAACACATAAAAAATTACAAAGCCAGAGAATTTGTAAGACCATCAAGCCAGCTAGAAACTCACAAAATATACAACTTCTCAAGATCAGCCAAGAACACAACAAGAAGAAACAAAGCTAGCAGCCTCAGAAAAGGGAGAGACTTGGAAACCGTGTAGTGGCGAGCACACGGTTTCTCTGGTCTTCAATGGGAGTCCAAGTCTTCTTGGGCAATGAGTAATTTCTTTTGCTTTTCAATGATAGAGGAAGGAAGCATCATTTCATTTCGGACAAGTTCTGCTCAGAGACCAATTATAGGGGCCCCCCACGTCAGGCCATTTATTTGAATGGTCGGTTTCTTGGTTTTCTCCAACGTCTCCAATGGGAGTCTAAAAGTAAGTCTTGGGTCAATGAGTGATTTCATTTGCTTTTCAATGAAGAGGCCAATTATTTGAATGGTTGGTTTCTTGGTTAAACTGTGGCGAGATTTAATTGAAGGAAATATCAAGGCAATTACTTAATCTTTTCATCACAATATATATGGAGTAAAAGAGAACAATGCATCAAATAATAATCACGAAATTTGGTTAAGGCATCAACGATTTTCCCTTTCTCTACAATGTTTACTTCTGATCCTCCCGTTACAATGTTTACTTTTGATCCCTCTAGAACTCATCAATACAGAGACGAAAAAAAAACTTTTGTTTACGATGAGAAAAGAAACGAAAAATTTTAAAGTTCTAAAGCAATTTGTCAAAGAGGCATTCATTGTTGCATCCCTTAATACGCAAATGTATTACAGATTCCACGACTATCTTTTGTGTTTTATATATATATATATATATATATATATCAAAGTTCTAGTATCTTAAGATTTCCATTTTAATTTGTATGGCTAGTATTCTTAATTATATTGTTTTGGTCTTCATCTCTCTTTTTCATAACTACATCCATATTCTTTTTCATAATTACATCCATATTACATGTGTCGTTTTTCATACACCTGCATCTCAAATTATAAGTTATTGACATAATAGCTAATTAAAAGCCAATTAAGACATATAATCATTCTCGAATTATAGACGCTATAATTGTATATAGCAAAGACCAAACAAAGCCTTACTAATTATTAATTTATTAAAATAGCAGACAATGCATACATAATTTTTTATAATCTTACTCCAAACAAAAAAATTCTTCGAGAAATCAACTTCTACAAACCCAAACTGTTTTATTAATTAATAGGTTTATCAACAGCAGGTGGTGATGGTGTTGACGGAGGGAATTGAATATGATGGGCTTCATCACAGTAACCCTTGAGTACATCAATCTCCTCGATTGTAAACCCTAGCGTGCCAAGTAAGGCAGGCCAACACTGATGCTCAATGGTTCGAATGGCTTCGCAACAGCCATGCCCTAAGTAAGTCTCACCATTCATAAAAAACATGAAAACCTCACCAGAACATGCCTGGAGCTGAAACAAAGAGTCCCAACAATTCAATGATTCTTCATCCAAATTCAACCTGACTTCGAGGTTCACGTTCGATCCAATCAAGTTATAATTCAAAGAGTGAGCACTAGTGGTGGCTATAAATAGTGGCATGGTCGTCGACAAAGCAAGAATAGTGAGAAGGAAGAGGTTAGAAGCTGCCATATTCACTTTCGATGATTGAGGAATCGATGTGATGTGTGAGGAAGGGAGAATCCAAGAGTTTATATATATAGAGGCCAGACAGAGCAAGTGGAATTTAGTGTTACAAAAATGTTACGTGCATAGAGAGATGGGATGGTGAAGAGGCTCATGAATCATAATCATTAATATCACTTATGCATGTGTTATTACAAAATTAGTGGGCAATTAAGACTTAAACAACTAATTAATCGATTGATCTTCAAACCATGATCGGACAAATTAATGGACAAGTTTGTGATTGTTGGTTTGCCTTAGCTGGAGCCTGGAGTCGGTTTGTCTTGCTTCGGCTTCTATCTTTGGGCTTTCTGCTGTTAAGTTGGGCTTTTTCCTCACATTTTCGATGTTGTTGGGCTTTATTTATTCTTGATTGGTATGTTTTTTTTTTTTTTGGTCGAAATTCTTGATTGGTATGTTTGGTAAGCTTATTTATGGTTGGGTGTCAAATTTCAACACTCAAAACCTTCACGAAATTTACACGAGTTAAGCCACACAATAATAATTATGAGTTAAATTCTAATCAATCTGCCAAGACATGATTAATAAGTAGTAAGTTTTCAATCAACATACCGACATGAAATGACTCACTCAACCCATTTAATACATTGATACGACTTGAACCCAAAACGTCACCAACCATTACCACCTTTAATTTCTGGTTGCTTTTTTATCCTGCCTTAACTTCATTGGGCTGGTAGATTAATTAGAAAACATCTTCAGAAAACAAAAACAATGAAAACGTGTCTGGTAGTACAATTTGAAATAATAATATGTGAGTTCTTTTTATAAAAATGTTTCCCATGAGAATAAAAACAACTTTTTTCTGTTTTCTACAAGTAGACATGAACTTGTTTTCATTTTATGAAAACATTCTCAATGTTTTCTGTTTTTGGGCTACCAAACGTGTTTTTGCCTCATTTTTATTTTCTAAAAATGAAAACAACCCCTTAAAATATTACCGGACGGGGCCATATAAGACATGTTGATTTTTCATTTTTATGATATCAGTGCAACTAATGTAATTCCTTCTTATAGCTCCCTAATGATTTTCTCACATGTAGGCAAACAACCGTACCTACAAGTAGAACACATTTCAATGGGCAGCCATCTTTCACGAGGGGCCTACAATACCATCATGTTATAAATATTAAATGAAACTCGACAACAACAGTGGCTGTAGTTTAGTGGTAAGAATTCCACGTTGTGGCCGTGGAGACCTGGGCTCGAATCCCAGCAGCCACACATTTTAACTTCCTGTTTTAGGGTTTTTGCATATTTTTAGTTCAGTTTCCCTTGCTTATGAGTTTGCACCCACAAAAAACTACCATTCTCTTTCCTTTTTTTTTTTTTTGCTCTGAAACAAAAAGTTTAGGGGAACACGAGGCTATCCCATCATAGGGTCATGGCATACCAATGCCTCTTTTACTTGAGGACTTATAGAGGGGGTTTTACAAATTACCCACAAAATGGATTGTTGGCAATGGGACTCGAACCTAGACCTTGATAACAAAGAGAACGATCATTACCAACTCAACCAACCCTCGTTAGCCATTCTTTTTTCTCTTTGAAGTCAGTGGGGTATAACTAAATTAGTTGAGCTTCTCTACCTTTACCTATGTGGGTAGAGGTTTGAAACCCCCATACACCTAATAAATATATGTGTAAACTACCCTATCCCCTTATCGCTTGTAGTACAAACAAAATAACCCAAAAAAAAAAAGAAGGTAGGCCTCTATAAAATCATAGGAATTGCATACTGTAACCAACTAGCTATTGAGTCGGTGTTAGTTCTTTTCAATGCAGAAAGAAGTTTCAATTCGATTTCTCCCTCTCATGACCAAAATTGAAAAAATAACACATACTATAGTTGTCCTTTTTCTTTTTCTTTTTTACTTTGATATATACTATATTAGTGGCTCTGGCTTTGCCAAAATAGCAAGCGGTGCACTAGATATTTGCTCAGTGAAAGGACTCAGATTGGCATTCATGAACACACAAATACATTATTTTGATGGTCATGGAGCTCTTTATCTTCTTGACACAAAAAGTCAAGAAGTTTTTTAGGAGCACAGAAGTCAAAATTGAATACTACTTCTTTTTCTTTAAAAACGCTATCATAATTACATGACATTTCTACGACGGGTCAATAGACTCACAATAAGGCTACACCACCACAATGAGGCTAGCTAGTAGCCACAAGTAATTAGGTATCAAAATGATGACAAATATATATATATATATATATATATCGATAATCAATTACCACAATTTTTTTAATAACCAAAAAAACAAAACCCTATATTGTCAATACTTTTTTTTTTTTAAAAAAATATAGAATTAGCGATAGATATATTGCATTGGGGAGGGGGGTTACTTATCCTGAGATTCGAACATGTGACCAAAGGGAGGAAGGAGGAGGGACCTCACCACTGAGGTAAACCCCTCGGTCAACAATACATATTTTTATATGTAGCTTTAAAGGTGCGATAATAAATGAAATAAACTTGCTATTGGATTTTAATGATAAGTTTTTGTTGCTTAATGCTTATGTTAACGTTATTGAAAACCTAAGATGGCAATGCGTCCAATGAAATGCCATTATAATTTACTAATTAATTTACTATTGGTCATGGACTCATGGAGGTTATGTTGTCATTGTAGATAATCAATTACCACATTTTTTTGGTTTTACAAACAACTGTCATAATTGCACGACGCTTTTACGATAGGTCAATACACTCACAATATTGCTACACCATCACAATGAGGCTAGCTAGTAGCCACAAGTAACTAGGTATCGAATTGATGACAAATATATATATATATATATTGCTTTTGTCATTTATGTGAGTCGAATATGAGACCTCCTCCAAATAAGTGCAGACATTTCCACTCGACTTATTAGCTTTCTAAAAGTATTGTTAGAATTTGAACTCCAAGTTTGCGAGTTCTTTGATTTCTTGCTTGAAAATCAAAGTCATCGCTATCAACATGATTTCAAACCATGCTTCAATTCTCATTGGAATTTGCTTAGAGCTAGACAAATTAATAATTAGCTAGAGACTGTAGTTGGCTTCATTTTGGACTTTATTTGGTGCCATTCGGCCTTCGGTTGCTATATCTTGAGCTTCTACTTGATGGCCCTTGGATGTTTGTTCGGGTCTGTTTGTTTGAACATATCTATAGCTTACAATACATGTTAATTTTTAGAACCTACGTAGTAATGCCGGTCTAATTATAGCTCCAAAATGTCTCAAAATAAAAATAAAAGGAAAATAAAAGCTCCAAAATTATTGCCTCTCAATCTCAAATGATTTCCCTTGCGTGAAAATGTTATCAAGACAGACTACTGTGTGAATATTAAAATAAATACTATATCCTCTATTTTTTGTGGAAATGTGAGTTCATTCTGGCTAGATAAACACCTTCTCCTTCATAAATTACCAATCTCCAAATAAAAAGTTACTGTAGTTTTATTCAAAATAGAACTAGCTCTCCCAAATTCTGCTCAACATATTCTGATGTAAATGAACCTCTCAAAATTCCAGTATGTTGAACAATTTAAAATTGAGAGATGCTAAATAAGAGAAGACTGCATAATTGAAAGAGATTGCACAAACTATCAAAGAGATGATCAATGAAGCAGACAGGGGAGGAGTTCCGACAAAGCAATTGGTCGGTTTTAGATCGATTCAATGCAAATGTTTACGCGCCTGATTGAGAATTCTTGTTGGCCTATTCCATCCTGCACAAAACAGAATAGAGCAGTTTAAAAAGTCACAGAAGTTGTGTCGATAAGAACCAAGTAGGTGATCTTGAGGTGCAAATTTCATGCAAACCTAGGCAATAAGCACACAACGACTTTCGATCAGTTCAAGTTGCACATTAGCATTGTGCCCAGTACCGGCCATGGCATCAGGACCCCAAATTTTGGTTGACTGCATGACACAATTGGCTGGCTTCAACAGCAGTAGTCTTGTTATTATGTACTTGAATGCAGAAACCAAAAAAAAACAAAAAACAAAAAGTTACAGTATGTCCTGTTTATATTTGCATCATACATCCTGCATGTATGTACTTTTGCAATGGAAAAAAACAAACAAAATGTAGCAAGGGAATTGTTCTCTTCTCCTACCTAATATCGAAGTGAAAAACAAAACTTAGAGCAACAGAAGGCTAAAAGAATGAAGGACAAGCAGTGGAACAAAAGCAGCAACTCACATTGAATTGAAATGCAGCAGCTGTGATGCCTTTTGCTTTGAAAGTGACGAATCATAGGTCAGTCCCAAACACATCGATCCTTTTTCTTTTTCTGGGCTGAGCTTCGTCAACAACAACATCATCATCATCGTCATCATCATCATTTAATTCTTCTTGGTCTGCCTCTTCGAAAAGAGCATAGGCATTGCAGAAGAGAGATTTTTGGTGAGAGCTACCACTTCGACTAGGACCAGCCTCCTGGTCATCGTGGCGTTGTTGACCTTGTGCATCAGCTGATTTGGTAGGACAAGTAGTAGTGCTCTTGATGATGGATTTGTTCATCATGATCTGGTTGAGTTGTTCCACATCTTGCTCGTGCACCAAACGAAACCCAAATTTCATCTCCCACGTGCCAGATTTTTCGTATATCCGCCGTATTCGGTCATAACAATAATAATTAGTTGTTAACAAAACCTTTATCTGACCACATTTTGTCTCAAATTGTTCACGATGTACATAAATTACCCAAAGGTGAGGTGACACAACTTCGCCTTTTTTAAAATATTTTGAAAATACTCCATAAAGCAATTCTTGTGCGGAACAGCTAATTTCAGAATAATGAAAATCAGAAAGATCAGCCTGAACTTCAAACACAGCACATAAAGCAATTCCCATCCACGTGGTACATGAATCTGGAGGTAGCTCCACAGTTAGGGAATCTCCCGAACTTTGACTACTGAACCACTCTGGAATTTCCCTTCCAGGAGTTACAATTTCGAAAGAAGGACAAGGGAGCTGTACCATATCCATAGATATATATGAGGTTAGTAAGTTGTAAATATTATTATAGCAAACAACAAGAGAGAGAGAGAGAGAGAGAGAGAGAGAGAGAGAGAGAGAGAGAGAACCTGAAGCTGAAGCTGAAGGTATCTCTGTAGCATTTTCAGTATTATACTATCGCAGCCTTCATTGTCAACCAATACAAAGCAATTGGTACAATTAAACCCACTAAAATATATTTCGTTGTTTATATCCACTGATGAGCAATTTGACGAAAGATGTGGTAACATTTTTAATGAGCAATTTGACGAAAGATGTGGTAACATTTTTAAGGAAGTGCAACCGGCTATGTCTATATCCACTAATGAGATAAGCTTAGAAAGATCTGGCAATTGTTGAAGCCTTTGGCACCCATTCACCCAAAATACCTTAAGCTTAGAAAGACATCCAATGCTTGCAGGAAGGCTAAAAAAATTGTTTCCACTAAGCTTTAATACTTCTAAATAGGACAAGCAGCCAATATCACTGGGAAGACCCCCTTCACAAAGTCCACGATTACTCAGATTCAAATTCTTCAAGAATAAACCATCAAGCGAAGCCAACACAAAAGCCTTTCTTCCATTGAAGCGGGGGAGGCACCACAAAAACCTTGAATTATTAGGCTGTGATCCACTACTTCCACCCAAAGATAGATCCTTCAGTTTTTTCAAACGAACAATGGAGCGTGGCAGCTGTCTTATAGCAGTTCCATTCAGTAGAAGCGTACGTAAACACTCCATCTCCCCCATGTTCTCTGGGAGTTTGTCAATTTTTGAGCATCCATTCACATGGAGTGCACCAAGTGACTTCAAATTACAAATTTCACTCGGAAGACCCGCGAGATTTTTGCAATCCTTTAGAAGCAGACTAGTAAGGCCAACCAGACATCCTATTGATGAAGGTAATTTCTCAATGGACGTCACTTGTAAATCAAGCGTTGAAAAGTTTTTCATTTGCCCTGAAAATTCTGGAATCTTTTTCAATTTTGTGCAAAAACCAAGACCCAAGCTTTTAAGACATTTGAGATCTGCAATTGACAGGTGAATCTCAACCAAATTCTTACAACTTCCAAAATCCAACTCCTCAAGATTCTGAATGCCAGAGAAATCTGGGGTTGTGGTCAAGTATTTAGAGTAACGAAGGTCCATTTTTTTCAAGTTGGGCAAGTCCTGTACAATTCATAAACAATGGTAGAACAGATAATTAGCTCAGATGTATTTTAATTTTTAAAACAAAATATTTATTAATAAATAAATAAAACTAATTTCTAGAATGGCATATGGTCACTACTCTTGCCTTTCTTCCATCCCAAAGCCGAACAAGTTTGTTGACAGGCATCTCAAGTGCAATAAGGAATTTCGGCTGAAAACCTGATGGGAGAAATTTGGAAGGATACCAACTCCATTTGATACTTCTCAAGGAATTAGGAAGAATTCTGGGGCTTGAAGAAATCATCACATTATCAAATTCAAGAAATTTCAGGTTAAGCATCTTAGAGAAGGCTTCACAATTCCAATTTGCCTTTTCAGGTGTCGCCATGTGTAATATGATGCCTTTAATTTTGTCCGTTGCCTGTAATTAAGAATAGCAAAAGAAAAGTTAATTCCACATTTAAGTCTAATAATGTGTTAAAGAGAAATCATATATCTTCCAAAACTATATATAACTTCTTATCATATTGTTTATGAATACATCAAAAATATCATTAATTAAGTCTAATACTGTGTTAAAGAGAAATCATAAATCTTCAAAATTTAGTATCTTTTATATAACTTCTTACCGTATTGTTTATGAATACATGAGAAATATCATCATTACTGCACAATCGACTTCGTCTACCAGGCTCATTAGGACACTCTCGACGAACAATTTCCAATGCCATTTCTTGTATTAAATCATGCATCCCAACATTCCCATCTGATATAGTTAAGAGTGATTTCTGAACGAGAGCATTTATCCCAATATTACCACATAGGCCACAACTGTCTAGTATTTCAATTACTTTCCCCTTGCCCTTCCACTTATGAAAAAATGCAACATCAAGAAATATATTCTTGTTCATCTCATCTAGTCCATCGTAACTTAGTTTGAGCAAATCAAAAATTTCTGACTTAGGAATTTTCCGCAACTTATCCAATTCACTTTTCCATTCATCTTGATCTCTCTTATACACTAAGCATCCCAAAAGTTTAAGAGCTAGTGGAAGGCCTCTGGCATAATTTACAAAACCCTTGGACAATTCCAAGAAACCTTCCTCAGGCTCATTTTTTTTAAAGGCATTCCGACTAAAGAGCTCAAGAGCATCATCATCACCTAACGCCTCTACCTCATATTGTATATGTATATCATCATGTTGATCTAGCAACCGTCTATCTCTAGTTGTAATAATGATTATACTCCCCTTACCAAACCAATCCTTTTCACCAGCCAACTTTTCAAGTTGGCTTGATTCACTCACATCATCAAGAATGAGAAGAACCTTTTTATTATACAAGCAATTCTTAATGACAGAGGTTCCCCACTGTTCATCCCAAACTTGAGTAATTTGATCCTTTAAGATTGGGGAAAGAAGTTGTCTTTGTAGATCAACAAGACAACCACGTTGAGAAACCTCTCTAACATTAGCAAGAAAGCTGCTAACTTCAAAATGGGTAGAAATGCTATCATAAACTAGCTGAGCAATGGTTGTTTTGCCAATTCCGCCCATCCCCCATATCCCTATAAAGCGAACATCATCCGTAGGATGAGCTAAAAGCAAATCTACTTGCTCACGTATAAACTTCATTCCCACTAACCCTTTGGAATCTAACAATTTGAATCTGTGATGCACTTTGTCCCACACCCAGTCAACAATCTTTTCAACAAGCTTTCTTTCAAACCTACAAAGAGGAAAAGTAAAACGATCATGAAGTCTAAAATATAAGACATACGTATAATAAGATATGATGGCTTACGAAAAAACATACTCATTCTTTGAATCTATCCCACATAAATTGGCTACTTCTGTTAAAGCATCTCTCCAGCGCTTCACCTTATCGATGTCTTCCCTAAACCTTTTCTCATGCTCAGCGAAGGCGTCCGCAAAACTGCCACTTTGTTTTCTCACATCGGCGGGGTCCACATGATAAAACACTGGCAGAATTGTGCCCTTAGATTTCATGCATTGGAGAATCTCTGTAAGCTCATCCAAGCACCAGGAAGAAGACGCATAATTTGGGGAGAGAACAACGATTGCAAGCGTTGATTCTTCGATTGCTTTGAAGAGCTCTGAAGAAATAGGTGTCCCTCTTTCAAGCTTAGGATCGTCCTTGAATGTTTTAATGCCTCTGTGCTGCAATTCGTGGTATAAATGGGATACAAAGCTATTTCGAGTGTCCTCACCCCTGAAACTCAAAAACACATCGTAGTTCGGTTGAGGAGCAGACTGATCAGGTGAAGGAAGAAAGGAAGGGTCTCTTTGGGTGCTCAATGCCATTTGGCAATCTGCTGCTGCTGAAAACACTCAATGAAAATAAGCCTTTTGCTAACTAAATAGAAAGATGATGAGAAACGGCAAAAAATAAAAGGATTATAATTTAAACCAGAGGAGAAATAAGGACGTTGTGGAAACAAGTTTCAGAGCAAAGAAAAGGAAACAACAAGAGAGAAACAGAGAGAACTGGGAAAATTATATATATGTTTTGTATTTCAACAGAGAGAAACAGAGGAATTCAACATATAAACATTACAAGGAACAAAAATAAGAATTTCAACATTTAAAACAAAAATATAAGCCTCATGACTACACAAGTGAACTAAAAATTGCATACGCTTTAGTCAACGTTACCTGAACAAAACAGATATGGAAATGTAGTCGAAGCAAGCCAACAAGTTTAGCTTAGTGTTACCTCAACCCCGAAAAAATTACAGAGCCAGAGAATTTGTAATACCAGCAAGCCAGCCAGAAACTCTCAAAATATACAACTTCTCAAGATCAGCCAAGAACCCAACAAGAAGAAACAAAGCTAGCAGCCTCAAAAAAGAGAGAGACTTGGAAACCGTGTAGTGGTGAGAACACGGTTTCTCTTTTCACCAATGGGAGTCATTTATCTTTTTTATTTCTTTATGGAAGAACCCCATAAAAGAAAGCGGCATGATTCTTTTGCTTTTCAATGAGTGCTTTCTTTTGATTGGATCAGGCGAGTTATTTGGATGGTTGCTTTCTTGGTAAAACTGTGGTGAGATTAATTCAAGGAAATATGCAGGCAATTACTTGATATTTCCCTCACGATAATAAAGAATTTCCTCACCAGGCACCAGCAACAAGAAGCAAAGCTAACAGGGAGAGAGAGAGAGAGAGAGTGTTGCAAAACCATGTAGTGGCGAGCACGTTTTTCTCTTGTCAGCTATCTCCAAGTCCAACGTCCAATGGAAGTCCAAGTCTTCGGTCACTGAGTGATTTCTTTTGAAGTTGAAAGAGGGCATTTCATTTTCGGACAACTTCTTTTGCTTTTTATTTTATTTTATTGTCAATTATTTGAGTGGTTGCATAATTTTATTTTGGTCAAGTTTAGATAATAGCTTTGATCTAAACAATGAACGATTAAATAAAAGAATATTGTTTGGCTCATTCCTACTCTTGACATGTTTCTGTATATGTAAATTGTCAAGAAGAAGAAAAAAAATTGTTTAAATGCAATTCCAAACCAATTTTCGCACACAAGTTGGAGTGTGGATTATCAAATATTACTTGATTCTTGCCTTTAACACTCTCCCTCAAGTTGGAGTGTGGATATCCAAAACACCCAACTTGTTGAGATGTGAATGGAAAACAGCTTGTCCCAATGGCTTCGTGAAAATGTCAGCAATCTGTTTTCCAATTTGCACGTATGTTGTCTTGATTTCTCCTTTTTGAATTCTTTCTCGTACAGTGTGGCAATCAAGCTCAATATGTTTGGTATGTTCATGGTAAACCTAAGATGGAAATGCGTCCAATGAGATACCATTACAATTTACTAATTAATTTACTATTGGTCATGGACTGATGGAGGTTATGTTGTCATTGTAGATAATCAATTACTACATTTTTTGTTTTTACAAACTGTTGGCATAATTACACGACAGTTCTACAAGGGGTTAATGCACTAACAATAAGCCTACACCATCACAATGAGGCTAGCTAGTAGACACAAGTAACTAGGTATCAAACTGATGTCAAAAATATATATTGATCTTATTATTTATGTGAGTCGAACCTAAGACCTCCTTCAAATAAGTGCAGACAAATACTACTCGACTTATTAGCTTTCTAAAAGTATTGTTAGAATTTGAACTCCAAGTTTGCGAGTTCTTTGATTTCTTGCTTGAAAATCAAAGTCATCGCTATCAACATGATTTTTTTTTTTGGGTTTGAACCACGAGGTGGTCCTGGATGGGCCGCTATCAACATGATTTCAATAACCCTTGAATAATATTCTTGAGTTTAAACAAAGTTTTTAGTTGTGATTTAAAGTTAATTAGAGAAAATTTTCAAAATAAAATCACACCAATCTAAATTAAAATCCAGACAAAACACAATAACAAAAAAAATTCGATAATAATTATTGACAAGTTTTAAAACAAATGGCATATTTGGAAGGGTGAACTGCTGGGCTGCCTTAGCCCAAAAAAAAAAACAACAACTGGGCTTTACAAATTGATGTGGATTGGGATTTCCATATGATTTTGTTTATTGGGTTGGGCTAATCCATTAGTACCCAGATCAGTAACATGATTCCTATTATATACATGGTTCTAATGGTAAATTAATTTTCATCATCAACCCATATCATATGAATTTGAAAAACTCAATCAATTTCAAACTTCATGCTCAAGTATCACATTTTAAGGCCAGAAAAAGATGAAATATTATGACCTTCACCTACCCAACCCAAATGATGAAAACCTAAATGAGTACTTCACAAAATCTTTTTCTACCTCATTCATTCCTCATGGGGTCAAAACAAATGGGTCCTTTTTTATAGGTAAACACTTTTTGTTTTCGTTAAACATTCTTCAATTAAGCGATATTCTACTTTAATCTAATCTAAATTACATAGAAGGGGATTCGAACTCGGATGCAAAGTGATGAACACATTCTTCAATTTTTATTAAATAAAATGAATTGTAATAGTATGTCATCTATTGCAGACAATTTGTTTATATCATAATCAAAATAAAACGCTTTTGTCTTCTGCCATCACAAAAATACACCCCAAATTTCAGAAAAATAAGAAAAAGTTACGATTTTTGCTTCACAGAATTGAAACTTGAAGGCAGCCCGCCTTTCACTTTCGCACGAAAATCTCGCGGGCTATTTTTTATTTTTTATATTTATTTATGCCCAAGCCCAATTCCACCGACAAAATAGCACTTCACAAGAAGTCCCCTCAAGGCTCTTAACCCAAGACTCAAGAGCATAAAAAATATTATATTATTATTTATAGGGCTACTACTAATCTGACAGCTACTGAAAGCCACAGACACAAAATCAATTCCACTGCCAGTCTGGTGGGGTCCTCTTGACACGTGGCGCCTCTGGCACTGTACGATCAACTCGTATCTTAAACAATCTGGACCGCATATAAAATATAAAATAAAAACAAATTATACATGCTTTGCTTTGCTCTATCTACCCTCTTTTTTTCAATTTTGTTTTTTATTTATTATTTATTTTTCAATTTTTGGGTTTAATATCTTTTGCTTTCCAATCTCCACCAGACAAAACTAGAAACAGCCAGCTGTATCAATCGCCCAGTCGGAAAGTTTCTCCTGTGGCCGAGGGCCCCAACCACTATGATTGTAACATGTGGGGTCTATCGCATACGTGTGGCTCTGTGGGCCCCATTTCGACGTGGCGCTCTTCTTCTTCTCAGTGTCATCAAATGCAATGCGAATGGATTTAACCAAACCTTGTTTATCGATTGTAGTAATCAATCATGAATTAGTTGAATGAACCTACCTACCTCTCTCGGAAATTTTCTCTGCAGCCAGGAGGTGCCAGATAATAATCGTACACAAGTAATTATCATGTAGTACGGGACGAAGGAGTTTGGTTGCTTGGTATAACTCCGCGCTGGTATCTTTGAGAATATTAATTCTTTTTTGGGGGTTGATTTTAATTATCTTAAGATCCGATAAATTACATTTCTATGAGAAACACGAAGTGAATGCATAAACTGACTAAATTTTCCCTTTTTTTACGTCCAAGCATTCATATTTCAGTGAGTAAATTCATCACATACTTTTTTTGAGACAAAAATATACCAGTTTTTAATCCTATTACTTCAATTTCGAAGAATTATACCATAGTTATATTTCTTTTAATACCATATAATAATTTCTCTGATATAAATCCGCATTTAGCCCACCCTGTAACATGTGGGCCCTCAAATTTTGTGTTTTCTTTTTGGCTGGAAATTTTTGTGTTTTTAGTGCAAGTTAGAATGTCGCTTCTTCTTCTTTTCTGGGTCGAAATGTGGCTTCTTACTTTATCGTTGTTAATTGGTTGATGAATGATGAAACAGTAGAGTACCAGTTGGTCTTTGGCACGTGTTTTGATCGACTAATTAGCCAATGATGGCCACCGACAGAAGATGAAAAGAATTAAGAATCCAATGCAAAATAGAAAAAAAAAATGTAAATTAATTATTTTATGTTCCAAACTCCCATAATCTATTGCAATTTGCAAGGTTGTGTGTTGTAGACTTTAATAGTCAACATTGGGGTGCAATTTGCAAGGCTAATTAATCCAGCTTAACCTAGGGTTAGTAGGATTAATTACTTTCAAATCACAAGTCAATTTATTATCTAACACGTAACCATTTTTAATTGGGCTGCCCTTGAGTTAGAAATCTTTTGTTTGACTTGAGATAAAACATTAGCTGGACTTAGGTGAATTCCAACTCTCATCAAGCAGCGTATCTAAAACGAAATGACTTAGAAATGCAGCATGTATAATGCCAATTGATGACTACCCAAAATAGAATGAACACTGCGTTTTGCTTTAAAGATAGCTGTTGGCTCGTATCTTCCTATCCAATGGGATTGGTTCCCTTGAAGTGGAAACCATCCAAGCCTCTTGTTTTTGCTCATGACCCTCTGGAAAAGGAGCGGGACAAATGGGACGAGATTAGGCTTTGGGTTGAGTTGCTCGAAAGAAAGCTAAAGCCTAAAGGCCATTGCAGCACTGTCCCATCAACTATTTCAATTTCTTGGCAACAATTATTGATCCCTTTTGCCCTTTTGCCTTTTTTCCCTTTCCTTTAGCCTTTTCTTTTATATTAAGTATCCACTATTACATCTTTCTTGCGTTAGTTTAAACCGTCACATTATCCCGGTCAATTTACTTAACTTACATTTACGGTCGTACATTAATAATTTAACTATTGCACAAGGTACATTGAAGAAGCAAGTGAATGGGTAAATTAACAGCTAAACACCAGTAATTACATATACATATCAATTATCGCATCATTAAGGTCAAAAGAATGTAATAAGTCTTTAATTGGATTCTTCTATACTACTTTCAGCTATTACGAGATTTAAATATCTTCAGAATTTATGCGCCCACACAAGTAATGAGTCATTCTTATCCTTATTTACAAATTACATTCTTTTACATATCTAAAAATAACACATTAAAGTACAAAAAGAAAAATACATGGACACATATCAAACTCCGATTTATTTGCAACAAACCGAGTTATCAATTTTGGCAAATGAATCAAAGACTATAGTAGCTAGCCTCATGGCTTGTTCAGAAGCAATGTTGGGAACATAGACCTAACAAATCTGGGAATGTCAACAATGGCCTTTGATGATATTAGTTGGCAGTGATGACATTTGACAACACATGTAGTGCTGCTTAAAGCCAAAAAAGGCATTAAGCCATGCTAGCTCAACGATATCATCATCATCATCACCATCATGTACTTGCGCTCATGAACGACATCAAAGTTGTCGTTTTCAACAAGTCTTAAGTAAGGCAAAGGACAAGTGCACACTATATACTATATTGTGATTAAAATGTGTACTCTCTCTCTCTCTCCTTAGCTACATGCAAAGCATTTGGTCCAGTGATTACACATTAATCAAAATATAATTATTCATTAACAACCAACACTGCCCAGTGTCGGCAACCCCTAATGATCATAGCATAAGTAGTCATTAATCTTCATCATATTTATTTATTTATTTATAATATATAGCTTTTATATGGACGTTTCTGTGTGGCCTCAGCTGGCTCAAATAATTGAGGCTTAGCCTTTCACTTTCAGGATCTTGAAAAAGTTTTTGAATTTAATAACCTGTTATCTGTTTCTGTTGAGCAAGATATATCAAATCAAATGAGCAACAAATTGGTATTATTTTTCTATATGTTTCCCAGATACGCTTGGTGACAATTAAAATCAAATCAATGGAGGGAGGGGCTACCTGTAGCAGAAGCATC